GCTCCGCACACCCTTCATTCACAGGATCTCCTGCTCCCCTTCCCAGCTGCGTCTTCTGCTGAATTTGCTGGGCCTGTCCACGTGCAGCTGGGGCCTATGCTGTCATCTCCTGATGTGCTTGGACTAGCCCAGCACGAGGGCCTGTGATATGGACACACCGTCTCAGCAATATAGCCTGCAAGTTGCCCAATTTTCTGAGCCTCGGCTCATCTAATATCTGAGATCTTTGTTACATAAATTGAGGCATCTCCCAGCCTGGCCTGCACCTGCTGATCTTTCGTACTAAAACTCAGTGACAGTGGAGATCGAGAAGCCAAGTTCTGGGATTAGGAAGAGCTGGGCCAAATACAGGCTGCTCAGTCACTTACTCACACAAGAGAAGGCCCGTGTAACCTTGGACAGCTTATATAACCTCCATCAGCTTTGGAGACCTCATTTATAAAGAGAAGTTTACATTAGTACCTGTTCTCTTAAGGGCCATGTGAAAATTAAGAAATAACGTAATTCTTACCATGTGTAGTTTATTAAGTGTGCAACAAATAATGGCTATTCTTCTTATTGTTATTAAGCATCTAAGACAGTAGCTCGTATTTTCATTGGAAGAAAACACAAACGCTTATCATCAATGGTGGGCAACAGCAATTAGGAGGTAGGCAATGTTGATTAGAAGGGAATTTATTCTAATGGAGGAGGAAGAAGTATCAATGTTAGTAAGCGGGGATTAAGAGACTCAAGCCAATAGACCCAAGAAAATTGCAGAGGTCAACAGGAGAGGAAGACCAAAAAAAGGAAAGGAGATGGCAGAATTGCAGGGTGTCTGCCCCCTTGCAACCACAGGGCAGAGGGCCCAGAGCTCGGATGAGGTTTGACCAAGCAGCATTTTAGTCTTGGCTCCTGGGCCTTGATGGAAACCTCTCCTGTCTGCTGCTCCCTGCCTCCCTGCCTCCCACCATGCTCTGGTTCAGAGCAGGCTCTGGCTCAGACCCACACGTGGTTCTTGGAAGCCAACAGAGAGAGGCTGATGCATTTATACTGATGTCGTGAATGCTGGGGATGCCGCAGGGGAACACCCGCAGAGAGTGCAATGATTATAATGGCCTGTTAGCGGATCTGGCTCACTTTCTAAGCTCTCAAGCAAGAACTTCTCTTCCAGGCTCCCTGTCAGCTGCCCATGACAGATGCTGTCCTAGACTCCAGCCTCTTCCAATGGAACCAAGAGAGATGAAGTCCAAGGCTTCCTTCTACCTAAGGCACATTGTTGCAATGACTGACACTGTCAATGCTCACTCATGAAAACCTCACCCCATGCCCACAGCAGGGCTGCCTTCACTCCCAGCCCTCCTCGAAGGCTCTCCAGGACACCCATAACTTCATACCCCATGACAACCACAACATTCACCCCTGCCGTGCACACAGGCTGCCTGGGAGAGGCTTGCTCAGCAGCACTTATAATCATGCTGCATTGTAACCGTCTGTCCCTGTCTTTGTCCTTGTCTATTCCCTGGGTGAAGCTCAGGCCTGGCACATAGTGGGTGCTCTGAAAACATGTCTGCTGAGTGAATCTTGTGGAAAGGGCCCTGGCGAGAGTGAAGAGAAGGGTTTGACCACAGTTCCAGTACTTCCCAGCTGTGTGACGATAGACAAGTCCCTGTCCCTCTCTGAGCTTCAGTTCTTTCATCTGTACAGTGGAGATCAGAGCTTGCAAACTACTAGCCCAGAAGGCCCATCTAGGTTGTGGATACATTGTTTATGGCTCATTCAGTGTTTCATTTTATTTTAAAATTAGTTCCAACACTTAAACATTAGGAGATTTCCATAAAACCTAAAGTTTTCAGCTTTTATTAAAAAATAAGAAGATCTGGCTACACGGGACCCACAACAATTGGCTGGCTTGGGCAGCACTGCCCCTTTAATTGGGCATTTGGACACAGTGCCATCTCCCCTCATTCCCTAAAGCCTTACCCAGCATGTTTCACTCATGTATGTTACCTGCCTGCCCCCCGCAGGCATCTGAGTTTGCAACCCCCGAATGTCATCTCTGAGCCCAGCACGACCTGACTGTTCTTTGGCTCTGTGAGGCCTAAAGACAGTGTTACAAGATCTCTCGGTGAGGACATTAACACCCTGGATAAGAAGCCACTTGGGCTGACAAGAGAGAAACTGCTTTTTCTGAGGATGACACAGAGTCTACAAATAGCCTCAGTGCCAGGTGAGTGCTGACACCTGCCCGATCTCGCCTGGGCTGGAGTCCTCGAGGGCTGGGCAGTTTCAGTTCATGGCTCAGCCCAGGGACTGGTCTCTCCTCCAAATGCCATGAGAATGGTGCAGTTAGGATGATTGCATAGCTCTGCCTGTGGGGAAGGCGGAACTTTTCTCTGGCTCAGACCGGAGGTAGTGATGAAGTTTGATTTTTCCAAAGAGGGTGGAAGAAGTAATATGAGTCAAGGAGGCTGGTTCTTAATCCAAGGTCCTGGGGCTGGGGGCACTGCACCATCACCGGCTCCCCAGTGCTGTTCAACAATGTCAGACCTCAGCCTGGCCTCAGGACCGTCTGTGACTGCCCACACCCACCCCACCCCAGCTTTTTAGCTCACGGTCAATATCGTAGCCTTTCCTTGAAGGTGCCCTTACCTCTCCCAGCTCTGGGCTGGCTTTGGCTCATTCCCTCTCTGGAATCTCCTTTCCCCATCTTTGTGTCTTTGCCCCTGCAATGTGGTTGTCTCCAGGATGATCCCCCAAGCAGAAACCATCTCCCCTATCCCTGAGTTCCACAGCCCCCTGGCTGACTCCTCAGTTTCTATTGTGCTGTGTTGTCTATCCAAAGCTTGTCTCCCTTGCCCTCCCTACCCCATCCCAATGACAGCGAGAAGGATTTGACATATGCAACAAACCCTGGTCTTGGAGTCAGAGAGACCCATCGAGCTCCAACACTCCACCCTTGGGCAATTCACTCCAACACTTAAGACCTTGCTTCCCCATCTGTAAAATGGAAGTGTCTCTCAGGCTGCAACGGAGAGCAGATGAGCTACAGGCTAGGGAAGGGCTGTGAGAACTAAAGTTGTTAAGTGAATGAAGGCAGCTCTTCCCTGGTGCAGGGCTGCTCATGCTTCATCCAGGTGGGGGATAAACTAAGGCCCTCCAGGGCCAGGCTTGAGGCGCAATAGGGTGCCACTAATCCACTTGGCATGGCTAAGGGCTGTGTGAGCTGAGAGCCTAGAACTGACATGTGGAGCGATTCCTCGCTTCCTCTTTCAAATCTACAATATGCACTGATACAGATGGGAGCTGGGAGATGTGCTGAGGGCCAAGATGGGGTGGGGAGCAAGCAGCCTCCCCACTCAGGCCTGTTCTAACTTCAGGGCACAATCACAAGAAAGGAGGAGCCATTCCCCAGGACAGAAGGAGGCCCCATCATGGACTGGGACCTGGGGAGCGACTGGGCTCCAGGATGCAGCTGGGGTGTCACTGAGTGACCAGGCCTTTCCTGGGCCTGGAATAGAGAAGGGAACTGTGAACTTCCGGAAAAGGGCCAACCAGTATTCCCATGAGCCTAGGACATTCTGCTCTGACCTCATGAATTCATGTGGGCCTGCATTTTGCTGCCCGACCCCTTCCCAGGAGCTGATTCAGGGTCTGGGGCAGAGCAGTCCAGAGCTGGTCCCAGCTTAAGCCCACCTGACTCAAAGCCCCAACCCTTACCCCCTTCTCTGGTCCTCAGAACTCTGGGCCCTGCAGCTGAGACCCACTGCTGCCTGAGCCCCACTGCTGCCTGAGCCCCAAACCCTGAGTAAAGACAGTCTAGACTCTGTCCATCACTGATGCTCATGGCACAGTACTAAACAGTTGACAAATTCCTCTCTCTCTTGTTCATTTTACCCTTGGAACAGACCTGGAAAACAACCAGGGCAAGAATTATCATCACATCCTTCTTCTCCAGAGGGGAAACTGAGGCCCCGAGAAGCCTGGGAGAACTGGCACAGGAGGTGGGGACTCCAGGGTTCTCCTAGCCCCCAGGCAGTGCCTTCTCTCTGAGCCTCAGTTTCCCCTCTGGAGAGTGCAGGTGTTGATCCAGATACTCTCTTAGGGCCCCTGCCTGTTATTCACTCACTGTGGGCCTCCATGCCTCCCAGGCGTCCATGAAGCCCAGCTTAGCACACAGGTAAATCCCCCTTCCAGTGTTCCTCCCACTCAGGTCTCCTCCTCTTCCTGTCTTGCTTTGTCACCCTTCCTTGCAGTCTGTATGGAATGGCTCCTGTGCTGTGTTACCTGCAGGTGTGGTTTCTGGGTGAGAAGGGGTGGGAGAGGAGCCATCAGCCAGCTGCCCTGGTTGCTGGGGACCAGGGCGGTCAGTCTGTGGGGTTGGGGAGGGGGTCAGACCCAGTCCTGTCGGAGGACTAGGGGCCAGGTGGGAGCATGACAGTCCCAGGCTGAGTTTCCAGTCTTGCTGCAAGAGGGTCTGGTCTCTAGAAGCATCTGGAGACAGGCCAAGGCTAGGACAAAGAGGTCTGTGGTCCCCATGGGAAGTGTCTGCCTGTCTGCTCCTGCCACCTTTCATCTAATCCAGCCTCTCATCACCATCTTTCTTTCACTGATTCTCAGTGCCACCTTCTTTCTTGGTCTCTCTGTCTGTCTGCGGAGCCTGTGAGGGAGGGCACTGCCTATACAAACGGTTCAAATGTAGACTTTTGTTATATTCAAATAAAAACATATGGATGATCATATTCTGGAGTTAACCACGTTTTAGCATTTTTACTCTTTTTTGCATCTATTGGGACCCTCACAAAATGGAAGCAGCCTCCTTTTGCGAGGTCGTGTCTGTCCCTCAGGTCTCCGGCCCTGGGAGGGGCGTGTTCAAAGGACTTTGCGCTCCACCGCCCTCCAGCCTGGCTGCAGTGCCCTTTGCGGCTGGCAGGGGTCACCCGCAGACAGGCCCGGAGTGGGCGGGGCGGGGGCGGGGGCGGGGCCGCGAGGCCGGCCCGGCCGATAAAGGCGGTGGGGCGCGGCCACGGCTGACTTGTCCCACTGGGCGCGCTTGACCTTCGCTGCTGTCGCCTCCGCTGGTGCCGCGGCCTCCCACCCCGACCCGCGCCCGCGATGCTGGCGCTGCGCTGCCGTCCCCGCTTGCTCGGCCTGCTCCCTGTCCCGCGCTCCGCGCCGCTGCGCCTCCCCGCGGCCCGCGCTTGCAGCGGCGGCGGCAGCGCCCGCAACCCGTCGTCTTCCTCCCGGAACCCGCTCGTGTACCTGGATGTGGGCGCCGACGGGCAGCCGCTCGGCCGCGTGGTGCTGGAGGTGAGACCATGGACCCGACCGCACTGCACTGAGCGTCGGGGACGGTCCCGGCCAGGCGCTGTGCCTGCCTCGCTGGGTGACCTTGGGCCTCCCACTGCCAGGCTCTGGGCCGCAGTTTCCCCATCTCTAAGAAGGAACATCAGAGTGGTGTCTTCCGCTCTCTCCTCGGAACTTGGGAGTAGTGGAGGCGGGAGGGAGGGCACATGTGGAAGAGAAAGCTCAAGGTCAGGTCGTAGACGGTGAGGGCCCGTCCCGCTAGCCGACCCGGGGGTGGGGGAGGGTTCTGAGACTCCTCCGGGTCGGAGCGTAGGCCCAGAGCTCCGAGGTGGGGGTCCGGTACCCCAGCGTCTGGACGGCGGCCCTTGCCTGACTCGGAGGCCGACCCCGTCCCCTCCGGCGGGTCGCACGCTGGGCCCAGGCGAGCGAACGAAGTGGGTCCGGCGGCCGCGGGCTCCAGCCGCCAGAGCGACCCAGGATTGCCCTTCTGCGAGTCGGGGCAGTGCGCCCGGAGTTCTTAACCCCACCGCCAACCCCAGCCACCCTCTCGGGGGCAACGCTCAGCTCCTGCCCTGGACTCTTTGGGCCTTTTTAAAAACAAAGCAAGAAACAAATAGTCAGGAAGAGAAGGTCTGGAGTGGCCTGCAAGCTCGACCCCCTTTTAAACAAAGGGGCCTCAGTTAAGCCTGTTTCCTCTTCTGGAAAAAGGAGAGCACCCTCCCTGCTCTCACTTATTTTAAAGGTTTGGTGCCAGGTGGCTCTTGAAGCTGGGAGGCAAGACTCTGTCTTGGATGGCGTTCCAACCTCCCTTTACCCTCAGCCCTCCTGCCTCTCTCCCAGCCTCAGTTTCATCTGCACGTTGAGGAGCTTGGACTAGTTCCTCCTTAGGGCCCTCTTTCTAGGTCCTGAGTCTCTGACACTTTGGGCCCAGCTGTAGTAGCTCTGCCAGTTCTGCCCCTGGAAATAGGCCAGGATGGCACTGACATCTCTTCCGACAGGTTGGGAAACCGAGGCTGCCTCCTCCCAGCCTTGGGTTCAGGAAGCAGCTGGCAGAAATGATAGCTGCTTCCCTGCCTCCTGCCCAGGGCTTGGAGGAACAGGAATGGCCTGCCGCGGGGCTTTCTGTCTCCCAGGCCACTGTGGGGGTTGAGTGGGGAGGAGGTTCCTTCCTTCACCTGCCTCTGGCCTGACCATCTTCTCTTGTCCCTCTTCCTGCCCCACAGCTGAACGCAGATGTTGTCCCAAAGACAGCAGGTAAGACGGCCTGGGGCCTTCTGAGTCTAGTCTAGATGGAAGAGAGGGGGGCAAGGTGAGGGCATGGAGCCCTGTGACCAGATGGGGTCCACGTGAGTCTCAGCTGCTCAGTGCCCTGGGGTAGCCTTCTGTCCCTCTCTGAGCGTCATGCTCAGTGTTGGCCCTGTCTGCCTGTCCTGCAGTAGCCTCAGAATCAGTAGAAGTCACACATAAATTTCCCCTGGGACAACTTCCTCCCGGTGCCCGATGAGGCAGGGTGGTGGCTCCATAGCCCTTGGCCTCCCTACCGCTCTGACCTGGTGCTGGAACAGCCAGGAGCATGTACTCTTGCCGCAGTGCTCAGACACTGAGAACAGCGAGGGAGATGCCTTGTTCTAGGTCACACAGCCAGAGCAGACCCAGGGGGCCAGCCTAGGGTCTTTCCACACCCAGCTTTCCTGGGGATTGGAGGGGTGCTGGCTGGAATGAGTTGTGACCCCTGGAGTTGAGGCCTGGCCCTGGTAACCTGCCTCTTCCTTCCACCCTCAGAGAACTTCAGAGCCCTGTGCACTGGGGAGAAGGGCTTTGGTTACAAAGGCTCCACCTTTCACAGAGTGATTCCAGCCTTCATGTGCCAGGTATTGCAGCCCTCTCTATGCCTCGGGTTCTTCTGTAAGTGGGGGTACTAACAGGCGGTGCCTTGTAGGGTTGTTATGAGAGTTAATGGGTGAGCATGTGCTTGGTGCGTGGGAAGTGTTGAACGAGGGTGCACCTGTGAGTACTGTGTTGGCTGTCCTCACACCCTGAGAGGCCGGAGCTCATCTGGGCCGCCAGAGCCCTTCCCTGCCCAGAAGTTGAGCAACAGGGCAGGTGGCAGGACGGCCCTGCCCAGCTGGGTTGGGACGTGAGCCTGTGGAGGGAGAATTGGCATTGGGGTGTGGATGTGCGCAGGGCAGCAGGGACAGATCTTAGGGCTTTGGAGGACTAGCGCATTCAGACAGTCCGTGTCCCACTGAACTCTTGGCATGGGAGGTAAGGAGGGAGAAGAGGAGGAGGAGGAGGGGAAGAGTGACAGGGCGTGGACAAGAACTCTCGGGTCTGGACCTGGAGTTTCTCTTTCCAGAGAAGCGCATCTTTCTCGGTTGAGTGAACATCTTGCATTGTGCGTCCTGCCTGGTCTTCAGAAGTGTTAGCATTGCTCTGTCAGAGGTTTGGGGGTAGGTGTTGACACCAAGAACTTCTCCAGGGGTCAGGACCCGAGCTGTGTTGGGGGTTGTCCTCTGTTGGGTCAGACCCTGCTAGGTCAGGGGTTAGTGTCCTGAGGCCAGCAGACCTGGAGATAGGGGCTTGGACATCATGATCTCTTTGAAGTCCTTTCATCCCAGAATTCTCTCTCCTATTCCCTCCACCCTGACCTGGTGGCTGTTGTCATATTGTGGTGAGTGGCATTGTGTTGGGGCTTGGCCTGCTGATGTGTCAAATGTGGCGCGTGCAGGGAGGGGCAGGGAAGCTATGACTGTGGGACAGGCCTGGCCAAGCCTTGTGGCTTTCTGCTGCAGAGGCTCCCAGCTCCACCTGAAGCTGTGGATGAAGCAGGAGCTGAGGCAAGTGTCCTGAGCCAGGCTGGGGTCTTCCTCTGAACAACAGCAGGCAAGGGCAGGGACTTCCAAAGCTGGAGGGCTCTCTGAGGCATGAGGTAGCGGCACTGGGAGGCCCAAGCCAGAGTCTTGAATTGTCACTCTTTGTGGATGTTTCAGCTGGGCTGGTCAGGTCACCCCTCTGACGTGAGGATCGCATCTCAGGAAAATAGCAACGTGTCCATGGCCAGGGACTGGGGCTGGGGCTGGCAGCCCATGGGCTCTTCTGGCCACAGCTCCCCATGGACGCCTCAGGCAAGCTATGAAGAAGGATGCCAGCTCTTGGGTGGACTCTGTCCTGGGTCTACAAACCATAGGGAAGCCACTGGGCCTGGTGAGGGGGAGATGCTGGGACAAGGGGGGCACTCAGCAGAGGGAGCTGGTTCTGTGCCGGCTGCTGCTGCTTCCCACAGATCAGACTTGGAACGGGGGCCCCTGGCCACTGCCCTGTTTACCTTCCAAGAATCGTGGGTAGAAAATTGTAGGTCCCCAAGAGTCATCTCCAAATGGCCATTAGAGCCTTTGAGGATCATTTAAAAACTTGCTGAGACAAAAAGTGAATCATTCAGAAACCAGGATAGTTATTTTGGCAGAAAATATTTAAGCTTTATTTTATTTTTGTTTATTTTTCTTATTATTTTGTTAGTCTTTTTACTGTTGGATGTTTTTTGACCCCTTTGCCAGAGAGTCTTCCAGCTAGGTGGGTCTTGGGTGGGTTGGGGGCTGCCTTGCAGTGCTGAGGCAGCACGCCCCCTGCCACCTCAGGGTGGCGACCACTCAGAAGCTGCTCTGTGCTTGCAGGCAGGCGACTTCACCAACCACAATGGCACAGGGGGGAAGTCCATCTATGGAAGCCGCTTTCCAGATGAGAACTTCACACTGAAGCACGTGGGACCAGGTGAGTGGGGGCTGCCATTCCCTAGTCTGAGTGCCCCGAGCTTGGACGCAGACTCCGCCACGCACACTAGGATGTCTGGGAGGCTTCAGTCTCATCGTCGATTGCTCAGTACCCAATGGTACACTTCCCTTCCTTCAGCACTCTGGGTTGGCTTGTTGGATTTTTCTAGAGTTTTTTCATTCTGTGCTCTCAGTTTAAAAAACCAGCTTTGCTTTGAGAACCTGGGGGAGAGAGCCTTCAAGCAAAACATTGTGTCGCCTTTAAGACCTGAGGTGCAATGTGGAAATGTCTGGAGGTCAGGGCTGGGGGTTCCACTCCGGCTCCACACTAAGAGCTTCCACAAGGCGCTTCCTTCTTGTGGTTCTCCCTTCTGAACTCCAGGATCTTCAGACTCAACGTCCTTATTTGGTTTGAGCTGTCTGCTCTTTAGAATGACTTCCCAGGGTAGATGCCTTCTGGGACAGCGTGGCTCACTCCTGCTTGTTTCTGCAGGTGTCCTGTCCATGGCCAATGCAGGCCCCAACACCAACGGCTCCCAGTTCTTCATTTGTACCATAAAGACAGACTGGTGAGTTCCCTGCTTCTGGCTCCAGGCCCTCTGGGATGAGGGGTGGCCCTGCAGCTGGAGGAGGGTTCGTGTGCTTGCAGGGGAAGGTAGTTTGAGGCTGGACTGTCTGCTCTGGGACAGTAGCCCTCACCCGGGCTGTGTGTCAGTAGGAGAGAAGGAGAAAGTTCATGGAAGGTTGGAGGGAGAATTTGGGTTGTTCTTGCAACCCTGTCTTTATTAGCCCTCCCAGTGTTGCTGTCAGCTGGGATTTTCTCAGTGCATTCGCACACACACAGAAGGACTCTCTTACCAAATGCATTTGGGAAATGCTACGGAACATATCAGGCCTCAAGATGGCTTGTTGTAGAGGCCTGTTTGCTTGGTTTAATGTGTCATTTCCTTGGCTTTCCTCGACTGTGGAATGTGCCTTGGAAAGCGCTGCAGTAGACATTTGCATATCATACCAGGCTTTTCCTCAGGCATTAGCACAGGCCTGCAGATAGCTCCTAGTACCTTAGAGCCCTCTTTCCCACATGCCCATGGGTTTTAGGGATGTCTTCCCTGGTAAATTTTCCACTACCTAATAATTTTCTCAGTCCAAAGTCCCTTGTGTCCTAGCCTGAGGCATCTGGGGTTGAGGGCACAGTAGCTGGCCAGGAGCTAAGATTTAATAAAGCCCATTTCTGAGGACGTTAAGGAGACCTAGGTGGTGGGTGGATACAGGCCATCTCTAGCCTCCAAGCTGGAAAGGACATGAATGTCTAGGCTGGGCAGGTCGTTGCTGGCTCTGCCTGCGCTTTGCTCCTTCCATTGAACCCCTAATGGACCCTGCAGTTCTGCCCTTGGCTGTAGCCCATCTTGGCCTTGCTGGCACTGGACTAAGCTGAATTTTGGATTCTTGGAATTCTCTCAACTTGAGAGCTGCTCAGAAGTTACATAGTTTCACACTTGTTATCTTGGCTGTCATAATGAACCTCATAATTCATAAATGTTAAGATAGTTCCATTTACACAGACTTCTTATTTCTTCAGAGTAGTTCAATATTATCTCCTGATGCAGAAGAAGAATAATTCACTTTTCCTAAATGAGGTTACCAGGATTCAGGTTAAGTGGCCTTGGGCAGGGTCCCACAGTATGTGAGGCACAGCATACCCTGGAAGGGAGTCGTCATCCAATGTATTTTGGGGAGCTCAGCAAGGCTTGATCCTGGAGCGCTGAGGGATGGGTCCAGCTTTTCAGTGGGAGTTCCTTTCAGAATTGCTGTTTTCAGTAAATAGTCATGACCAAGTGACCATGACGTAGGGTGACATTGCACTACTCTTAATTTTTGCTTACCTTGCTCACCTCTCCTCACAGGTTAGATGGCAAACATGTTGTGTTTGGCCACGTCAAAGAGGGCATGGATGTCGTGAAGAAAATAGAATCTTTTGGGTCCAAGAGTGGGAAGACATCCAAGAAGATTGTCATCACAGACTGCGGCCAGTTGAGCTAACCTGCCAGGGCCAGGGTGCAAGGCCAGTGGCAGCTGCGTGTATGTTAACTCACCCAGATGGCCACCTTGGTCTCCCAGTGAAGGTGCCCCGTGGAGTTGCCTGTCCTTGCTCTGCCATCACTGTGTGCTCGAGGAAGCCTTCTCAGGAATAGTGGACTTCCACAGGACCTGCCAGACAGTTTCCCCAATGCCCACCCTTCCCCATGACCCCATTTCTGGACATTCGTCATGGACATCATGTTGCCACTCCTCACCAGGCATTGCCTGTGATGGCCCAGCCCAAGTTCATCTGTACCTTGGACATTAGGGTGGTGATGGGTTAGCTTTGAGTCCAGGTTTCTGCCTCTTCCTTGACCGAGGGGGGAAACTGGTTGCGACAAGAGGGCTGTTGTGTCTGTTTAATGTCATCTTCCTAATTGGGATAATTTATATAACAAGATTGCCTGGAGATGAAGGTGACACTAACTACTCTGTGCTGTGACCTGAGTTGGTGGCACAGGCCACAGAACCCCAGAGTTTGGACCACAATCGGGGCTTTTGTGAAGGGCGTCCCGGCCGAGGCCTTTGTCCAGCTGCTGTGGATCAGGTGGCTTGCTGCTGCTGCTCTTGAGGAGAGTGTGCAGCCTGGAAGCAGATGGACCTGGGAGCAAACCCACTGCGAGCGAGCCTTGCCCAGTCAATGTGAAGTCCTGGGGCGAAAATGGAAATGCCTTCTAAGTGCCGTGTGCTCTGCAAGAAAGTAAATGTGTATTTTCTGGTGAACTTAGATTTTTCTGTGTTTAATAAATTAAATCTGCTAATTATGTATATAATACACTTCTGGAACATTTGTGTTCACCTTAAATGTGAAAATAAATCCTATTTTCTATAAAAGATTGTCTGGTATCTGGTGGTTTTAGGAAGCAGTGTCTGTAACAAGTATTTGGAGCCAACCTTTATTGAGTGCCCACGTGTCTGGTGCTATGCTGAGGGCTCTTACATGGACTGTCTCATTGAATCAGCCCAGCAACTCATGAGGGTATTTTTATTGTTATCCTGTTTTAGATGAGGAAGCAGTTTCAGACGAACTACCTGAGCATCTACAACCTCTCTACGAGTACTGGCTCCGCCCTGGATCCTAGCTCTGCCTCTTGGTGACCCTGAGACTGTTTTCCTCAGCCCACATAATGGGATAACAGTAATGCTCACCTCACAGTGTGGTTACGGTTGGATGTGTGGTGCCTGGCACACTGTCTTAAGCACTCTGAAGTGACAAGGATGATGACATTTCCTGTGTGACAGGGTCTTAGAGGAGAAGAATCTGATCATCTACAGTTAGGTGTGAACTTGACTATCTTAGATGTACCATTTAAATTAGGAATTCTAGGTGTTTCTGAATTCACAGGGAAGGCAGATTGGTGGAGCAGGATTAAGAACTTTTTTAAAAAGCCAGGGATGACACAGTCTGAATGATAGAATAATCACATTCTGTTCACAATGTGAATAGAATTATTTCACGTTGGGGTTCCCTGAGTCAGAAGATGTGTTGTCACAGGTCCTTGTAGTCATTCCGAGGTCACGGTGGCCAGAGTTGGGTCATTTGGAGTGTGGAGTTGCCTGAGTCAGTATGTGAGGTCGCAGGTCAATGCAGTCCCTGACGTTGTGGATGGGGGTTCAGTCCCTGGAGTCGCAAAGAGTTTCCGTGAAGTCAGAGTTCAGCTGCATGGATTGGGAACTCTGCCAGCCTAGCAGTTTTTAAACAATTCTCAAGAGCCTTAGGAGTCCTCAGAGTAGAACAAAGGGGAGACAAGGGGCATGGGCCCCTGAACCCCATTTTTAATCACAGATACCTTCTGTGTTTTCTTACTGGGTCTCTGCAAGGGATTTCATTTGAAGAATGGGATCTTGAGCCAAATAATAATAATCAGTAATTGCTCAACCAGTCCAGCATTTTACAGATGGGTAAACTGAGGCCCCAAGAGGGGTCGTAATTGCCCAAGGTGACCTGTGAGTCAACTGGCAGAGACAGAGGGGTTTCTGTTGGAGGCTTTGTGGGTGGCACAGGCCCCATGTCCTCGGATCACACATGCTCAGAGCTCTTCCAATTTCTGAGCTAGGAGCCATGACTTCAGTCCCTGTGGAGTTTTCTCCTAACCTCTGGGGGCTCTAGGGAGGCAGTGGTGCTCTTGACAAGTTTGAGAGATCCCTTGAGGTGTGACCTGCTGGCCCCATGGTGATTTCTGAGGGGTCTCAGGGTCACAGAGCACATGGGGCTTGTGCTTAGTTCACAGAGCATTTCCTTTTTGATGAGGAGGGAGTGTGTGTGTGTTGTGTGTCCCTCCATTCAGAGCAGTCTGGTGTGGGGTATGGGGACGGAGCCAGTATGCAGGAATTTCCTAAAAACTGAGTTTCCTGAAGATGGAGCCATTCACTGCATTTCTTTTCCCAGCATTCTGCACAAGGGCTTGATCCTGGTCTTACTTCTTATATAAGGTAGGAGCTTAAGGAATGTACAATAAGATATTGACTTATTGCTGGCACGTGGTACCTAATACATGAATCAAGCAGTGAGTCATACACATGCTCTTATAGATGTAATCATATGTGACGCCATGTAAACACGACACATTTAAACAGCTGAAATATTTTTCTCAGACAATACGTGATACCTTTTCAAAATGACTTCATTGAGGTATAATTTACATACAATAAAATTCACACATTTTAAGTGTACAATCTGATGACTTTTGAGAAATTCATACACTGGAGTAACCACCACCAAATTAAGTTATAGAACATTTTCATCTCTCCAGGAAGTTACCTCCATGCCCCTTCCCAGGCAGCTGCTGAATTCTATCACTACAGATTAATTTTGCCTGTTCTGGGACATTGTATAAATGGAATCATACAAGATTTACTTTTTATGTCTGACTTCTTTAGTGTCGCATGTGTGAGAAATGAGAGAATTGAACACCCTTCTGGATTCTATGGAATTTTGCTCTAGAGCAAGGAATGTCTGTGAATGTTTCCCAGGTCTGGGGAGGCGTAAAGCAATGCTTCACAGGGTGCTGGTGAAGCATGCAGATTCTTGGGCCACACCCACGACCTACTGAATACAAATCTCTGAGGGCAGGATGTAGGAATATGAATTTTAAAATAGTAATTCCACTGAAGTTTGAGAATTTGAGTGCAGACCAGAGTAGGCAAGATTGCAGAGGGAGGGCATGGCTTGCCACTAGAATCATTGTTTACTTCTGGAAACATGTTTTGCTGGACGCTCCACTTATAAAAGATGCCTCGCTGGAAGAGTCTAACTGATCATCCTGGGTGGTGGGTGTGGGCAGCCGCGTTAGCCCAAGCTGGTGGGGGCTCCTGGACACCTGTGCTCTGCTGGCAAAGGCAGCTTCCTACCGCCTCCGCTTATGGAGGTGCCTTCAAGGGGAGGAGCTCCCATGGTGGTGGCCTTGGCCCTTCCTTTGTCATCCACAAGGAGGGTCTGCCTTGGGTGGTCCATGCTGAAAAGCATTTTTCAGTGAGAGGCTTCTGGGGGCCAAAAGTCAGATCTGTGTTCAAGGTCCACTGGAACAGGGGAGGTAGAGAAATCTTGGTTCTGCTCTGCCCCCTAATCAGTCTCGGCCTTTAGAGGCTGTCCAGAATTATGATGGCATTATTATTATTATTTCATACTGTAGTGGTTAATTTTATGTGTCAACTTGTCTGGAGCATGGGGTGCCCAGACATTTAGTCAAGCATTATTCTCTGTTTGACTGTGAGGGTGTTTCTGGAGGAAACGAACACTGGAATGAGTAGACTGAGTAAAGCAGATGGTCCTCCCTAAAGTGGGTGGGCCTCGTCCGATCAGCTGAAGAGCTGAAGAGAACCAAAAGGCTGAGTAAGAGGGAGCCCTTCCTGCCTGACCACTTGAGCTGGCACATCGACCGTTTCCTGCCTTCAGACTTGAATTGAAATATCAGCTCTTCTTGGGTCTCAAGGCTCCTGGCTTTTGGACTGGAACTTACACCATCAGCGCTCCTAGGTCTCCAGCTTGCCAGCTGCAGATCTTAGAAGTTTTCAGCCCCCATAGCTGTGTAAGCCAATTCCTTATAAAAAAAAATCTTTCTATACATATATACATATATACACACACACACTGTATTTGGTCTGTTTCTCTGAAGAACACTGGTGAATCTTTTTTTTTTCTACTTATGAAACAAAAATGCACTTTTAAAAATGCAAATGTTACATAAATATATAATATAGAGAATTAAAATTACCCATAACCCTGTCATATTAATAGTTGGTCTAGGTTTCTGCATTTGCTTAGGATGTAGAAAGCTGCAAAAAACATCATTCCTACCCCAAAGATAATAAAAAGCTGAATAAACTATAAAATCATAACTTTTCTTGAGTTCATCAGGAAGGTCACTAGGTAACCTGAGTTCCAAAGACAGACAAAGCCCTGCAAGGAAAGATAGGACACTCGAACCATCTCCCTACAGCAGGCACTGCAGGAAGAGACGGCCACAAACCAGACCAAGTGGGTAAGATGAAACCAGGTCACATTTTAAGGAATTGTTAAAGGCAAAGAGGGGGCTAATGGTGTTCATCTGGAATAGCTGGGGTCCCCCTCACACAAAGCGAGTTCACACTGACTTGCAAGGTGTCTCCCCGAGGACTCCGTTGGGTGCTCAGGAGAAAGACTGGGGCAGGGCAGAGGACCCAAGAGAGACCGCCTTGGTGGTGCAGGCCTGCGGTGGTCTTCAGTTCCTGGAGAAAGGCATGAAGCCTTGCTCACCTCCTCAGAGTCTTCTCTCCTACGAAGCAAAATTGTTAATCTACTGGGGGAGGGGCGATATATCCTTCACCTCCAGGAAAAAGTAAAAGTTCACTATGGCTGGGGGAAAGGTAGAAAAGAAAATCTTATAACCCTCGAGAGAAGCAAGAAACCATCGAGACCCAAGGGCTCAAGATCCTGTACTGATACCAACCAGAAATTATCCACCACTGGGGAGGGGCAAATACACACCCAAGACATGCTTAAGACTGAGGCCTGACCAGGACAACAGAGAACCCTTCTGTTCCCACTCCAATCCTAATCTACTGCTGGAGGAGAAGGAGAGGCATGGAGAGAGACAATCTCTGTGCTGCAGAAAGCTTCGAGTGCAGTGCAAAACACGGAGAAACACCCTTCAGCACCTCAGATCCATTCCAAGCACAGGGCCACAGTTGCCTGCTGCTACAAGAATTTGCACCTGTGGGGCTCTGGAGGTAAGGACAGTTCAGCTGTCCCAAACCCTGGCAGTTCCACAGATGATTAAACATAGAGTTAACAGATGACCCATCAGTTCCACTCTTTGGTATATACCCAAGAGAAATGAAAACATACATCCGCACAAAACCTTGTAGGCAAACGTTTATAGCAGCATTATTGATAATAGTCAAAAGGTAGAAACAACCCAAATGTTTGTCAATGGGCAAATGGATAAACAAAATGTAGTATATCCATACAGTGGAATATGATCTGGCTATAAAAAGGAATGAAGTACTGATACATGCTACAGCCTGGATAAAGCTTGAAAATATTATGTTAAGTGAAAGAATCCAATCACAAAAGACCACAAACTATATGATTCCATTCATATGAAATGTCCAGAACAGGAAACTCTATAGAGACAGAAAGTAGATTAGTGGTTGCCTAGGGCTGAAGGGGTAGGTGGAGGGCGGGGGAGGCACCGGGTGTAAATGCGTGAGTGGTAAAGTGTACAAGGTTTTTTTATAGGATGATGAAATGCTCTGAAATTGACTGTTCTGATGGTTGCATATAACTGTGAATATACTAAAAACCATTGAATTGTACACTTTAAATGGATGAATTGCATGACGTGAACTATTTC